CGGACTATCTCTTTGATAAAGGCGGAAGCAACCGTTTTCGCCGTGAAGGGATGTCTCAAGGCAATGAAATGAGCGTACTTGCATCGTATCAAATTCTGTTCTGCGATATTTGAGAATCACCGTCAATACCTCGGTGTAGGTCCGGGATAATCCTTTGTCCCACAGTCTGGGTCTATTTACAACTAGCYAATTAAGAATTCTCAGATGTACTAGTACTAGCAAGTGCATCTTTGATGCAGTCATCRATTCTCCCGAGAGGTCACAATTACCGYGAGCAAACATATTAATGACRAGGAACACATTTTTGCTATTCTACTAATACTTGTACTTGCTCTGCTATTCTGCCCAAGCCTGGCTGAGGAAGAATTACGGGGCGTAAAACAAAAAAATATGCTGATTCGGGTTGGGTATACTATATTTAATTTATAACGGAACCCCCGCCCTTAACCCATTAACGAAACAGGCAGTCGACCACAACAAAGACCGTGTCATTCCCTGCTGAACGCGGCAGTCCTTCGACAAAATCCATGGTGATGTCCTCCCAAATTCGAACCGGAATAGCTAGAGGTTGTAACAGCCCTGCCGGAGACACCGTCAAGGTTTTATTCCGTTGACAGACGTAGCACCCTTCGACGAAGTTCTTGACGTCTGCCTTCATACCATGCCAAAACAGCTCCCCTGTAATTCTTTTGTAAGTTCTCAAGAACCCGGAATGTCCTCCCATAATTGTGTTGTGGTACAAATGGAGTATAGCTGATTTCAACGTAGAGGAGCTAGAAATTACCATTCTATTCTTGTAGTGTAGGACTCCATGTACCATGCCGTAGTTTGGATGGCTGGCCGGGTCTACTTCTATTTCCGAGATGATCTTAGTCAGCAAGGGGTCTTCAAGAACTTCAGTCTTGAGTATTTGCACATCTAACAAGGCAGGTACAGTCATGACAGCCAAATGAGGACTAGGGGCCATCCTAGATAGGGCGTCAGCTGCTTTGTTTTCAAGACCCGGCTTGTATTGTATCTCAAAGTTGTATCCCAAGAGTTTCGCACACTGCCGACCCTCTTTGGACTTTCGGAAACGATCCAGAAGTCGGGTTTTCAAGTTCTCCCAGTCCGTAAACCGAACTCTGTTCTCGTGATATCTATACCAGGCTAGAGCGACTCCCTCAAAGCTTATCACCGATACAATCACTCTCTCCTCATCGGTTAGCTTATGAATTTCAAAATATCGTTCGGCTCGAAAAAGCCAGGAATCAGGATCCATACCTATGAAGATTGGCATTTCGACCTTCTTGAATTTGTTTCGATCCTGTCCTTGATCTCTTATATGAACGATTGTCGAAGTATCTCTGACCTGCTTAACCTTCTGGATGGATGATTCTCCAACCTGTGTAACCGAAGATGGTTTCTCTCCGATGATCTCCGCCATAAATCCCTCCAGCATCATCTGAATTCTTTCGCTCATTTGTCGCTGTTCCTCCGACCTCGCACACAAGGTGGTAATAGCCTCTTTGATCCCCGAAATCTCCTTTTCTGTCGCATCGCATCGAGTTTCCAGATCCTTGACCGTCATCGTCACTCAAGTTCCCAAGCTCGTACTGCTCTGATACCAATTGTGAGGTGATTCCTCACTTGTGGTATTACTAATACGCAAAGAAAGTAACCTGAAAGCAATACAGTCACCCCACCTATTCGAGAGGGTGGGTAATCTCTCCCTAACAATGCCAGAGCACTCAAAACTAGACTAATCCTCCCTTTCTCCCATTCGTTCCATTTCTACTGTTCCCTAATTCCTCCTTGGGCCCCACTCTACAAACCGTTATCCCTTCCTCTATACACTTTACTCATTTGCCCCTAACACAATGCCCTTTCTACCCCTTCTCTTATAAGTCTTAATAATTGGAGGCCTAACACTTTGTCCGATGCTGGCTTCTGTTTTTGTTTTCGAGGAGAGCTAATAGAAGGATTAGCGGAGGTGGAACACACCCCCCTCTCTTGTCAAAGTGTCTTATCTGATTATCCTTCTTAAAGGAGACCCCTTTTCTTTCTTCTTTATTGTCTTTTTTTGTCAACTTTGTCTACTTTCTTTTCCTTTTTACGAGACCCAAGGGTGGGCCCCTCTTCCGTTAAGGTTGGAATCACGTGGCTCGATGGCTGGCAGTTTCTTTCACCGAAAGAGGTGTTTCCCTCTTCCCAAAGTTGAAGGGCTTTTTGTCCCTCGTGACAAAAAAGGGGCGGGGGTAGTGTATGGTGACCGTAGGACAAAGAATAGCACCTTCTAGGCGCCAGATATCCATTGGACAAAGACCTGGTCCCTCTTTTGCTCCACCGTAGAAACGTTTTGCTGCCTCTTGGTTGAAGCTGCCATGGACGTCGACGGACTTTCCGATCAGATCACGGCTATCTTGATAAGTTGCGACTTGAGCCATAAAAATTCTATCTCCGTCTAAGATCTGAACCTCTAGAGGGATTAAACCGCAGTATTTCCCTTGAACTCGGATGGCGACCTCCACACATTCAATAAGGCTGGAGTTTTGATCATAGTCAATGAAGCCTCCAAAACAATCTCCTATAAAGGTAGTAAAGCTCCATAAATGAAGAGGAATATTTCTAAAGCGAATCCATCCTCCATAAGATGGGATCGCATTAAGTTTTCCATGTTTCAACAGGTCCCATCTCTCTAACTTTGCTGTGACTGGACCAAACGTAACCCATCCTCTATTACAGGATAATAAAGTTGCTAGGTCCTCAGTGGGGCATTTAAGGAGGGCTTTGTCGGGTTGGTAAGGATTTATGAGAAAGTTTTCTTCAGTTTGTTCTTGTATAAAACCGCGAATCCTTTCCCAGTCGTCGTGGAAGTCACGGCGGGTGAGCACTAAAGTATCCCGCCAGTTTAGAGCTCTCACTTCCCGTCTTTGTGCTGGAGACGGGGTGTCTTTGCGATGGTCTGTGGGGGCGACGATTAACGATCTTACCTCCTATGAGTTATCTTTATTCTGCTTTAGAATTTCGGCAAAAGAACAGCTCTGTTTCGGCTGTTGAGGAGCTTAGTGAAAGTCTGGCTGAGTACTATCTTTCTTGCCGTTTAGGAAGTCTAGGAGGAGATCCTTGAAAGCTTTCTAGCCCTTGTGATCAGAGTCTGCTGGGACCACAATGTTTCTTTTGCCACCACCATTCTGAACTCTAGTGATTTCGAGGAAACTTCCTCTCTTGTTTGAGGTTTTTTGGATCCATATGAAACCTTCATTGCAGTCAGTTTTCCGGAAGAATTTCTGAGTGTTCGGGGTGAGAAGGAGATCATCTATCATGTCTATAATCCAGACACCTACTATTTCTTCTATCGCAAGGACAAAAAACCTGGTAAGGTGTTTTTCTGTGATTCGCAGCCATCTTCCTTTCTTTTTGTGATCGAAATCGCAGTAGAAAACTTTGTTTTCTATCTTAACCCGAGACATGGTTGGTCTGAGGAGGAGCTGGGGGGCGGGGGAGGGATGGGTTGAGGTCGTCGGAGTCATGGGTCGGGATGAAGGGGGAGGGAGCTATGAGGGCTGGAGAGAGTCATCACTAGCTCACACCAGTCACTTTCTTTCAGTTCCAACGCCCTTTTTTAATTTTATTGTAGAATCTTAATATACATATCTTTTTTATTTTTTTAATATTTTTCAAGTTTTCTATCAATTATCATCTTATTTTGTATATCCACCTATGTAATAGCAGTCCAAGACAGATACTCATATCCATCACCATATCTACAAGAACAATGGGCTGACATTATGTCTTTTGAACCATGATCTGGGATCAAAAGGAGAAGGTTTTCCCATTTACTGGCCTCTCCTTTCATAGCATTTCTTTTAAACATGGTTTCAGTTCTGCTTTGTATCATTCAATATCTGAGTCATGTAAAAAAAAAATAAAAAAAAAATTCTCAGTAAGAGAGTTTCAGAGGCTAAATAACCGAGTCTCAAGGTCCTCCCAAAAGCATATCCTATTACCATCACTTAATTTGAGGAAGTAAACAGGTTTGGAAAAACCTTCACATATTGCAATTTGAACCCAAGGGACCCTTGTGCAGGGATTTCTACTTTTACCGGGCGGGATCCCGCTAATAGAAGTATTGTTGCTTTGATAAGTAATGCTATAAGTGAGGGGTGTAAGCAAGTAGGTTCAAGAAACAACTAAAATTGAGAAGTCAAAAGTTTAGGGACTAAGATGAAAGAATGAGCAAATAGTTTATGGACCAAAATGAAAAACAAGTCAAACTTTAGGGACTTAAAACCCAGAAAATATGAAACTGGGTAGATTTCTTGAGAGAAGAAAGAAAATACAAATCTGGCTGGGACAAAATAAAGTTCTTTGAGGGTAGAGCATAAATATTCATAGCAATGGACCCTAGTGAAAAAAACAGAAAGGTAAGAAAGAGCTTGTTTGGTAACATTCCTGTTTCTTGTTTCTTCTTTTTTAATGAAGAAAAACAGAACTTTAATTTAATTATTCGGTAACTATTTCTTGTTTCTTGTTCTTTCTTTTTTTATTCAAAAATTCAATGTTCATTTATTTTTTAAATAGTCATTGGGCATTTTATAACGCAAGAATATAAGATAATGCTTTTATTAATGTTTTGAAAAAAATTGGAAATGAGAACCAACTTGATTTTGTTGTTACCAAAATTTCTACACAATTTTGGAAACATTTATTTTCTAAAAATAAGAACAATTACCAAATTCTTATGTTTTTCAAAAACTAGAAACGTGAAAAACGTAACACGTGATCAAGTAGGCCCAAAACTTTTTGTTCTGACCTACAAGTATGGAGTCTTGACTTATTAAGAGATGAGTAGCTAAAGGTTGTAGATTCAAAACTCCAACGAAAGAAAAAGGTATGAGGAACAAAAAATACAATTTATCTAATTCTATTTTTCTTCGCTCAAAAATTTTGAGCTTTCACTTACAATGGAAAGAATTAAAGACAATGAAATAAGTTGCAGTAAATTACAAGTGACATACCTGATGAGCTATGTTGTGGATTACAAGGATGGATCTTGTGAATTTCATCATACCATTGTCTCTATAATAGGCCTTCAAATACACTGGCAGTAATGCAGTATGCCAATCATTTGCAATGAAAACTAAATTCCCATCTCCATAACATACACCACCACATGGCACATGCCAGGGAACCTGAAAAAAGGGGGTAAATGTTACTTTGCAAATAATATATGATCGACTTTTAGTTGTACAATAAAAAGTGGGAATGTTAGAAAATCACAACTCTCGAATAATATTATGGACAAAAAATAGGAGCAATAAAAGAAAGTAAAGCTTTGGGTTGTCCATCATTTGTATATTTCAGAAATTATACTCAAGTACCATACATCAAGTGGAACATTCCTGTTTCTTGTATCTAAATTTGGAAAAATATGTGTTTGTTCCTTATTTCTTATTTCTTGTTTTTCCTTTTTTTTTATAGAAAGTTTCTCAAAATTGTATACAAATTGTGGAAACAAAAAAAATTAGAGTTTGTGTTCCTATTTCTTCATCCATTGTTAAAAATATAAATAAAAGGATTATTTTATATTTTATATTTATAAAATGCATAATAGATACGAAAAAATTATATAACATAATATTTTATTCTAAGAATTTTATTATTCATGTAAAACATTATTTTTTTTTTTAAAGAGAGCAAAAATCAAGAAATGGTTACCAAATGCGTTTCTGTAAAAATATAATTTTAAAAAACAAAGAATGAGAAACAATCGTCAAAAACATTTTTAAAAAATGGTTATCAAATGCATTTCTATTTTTTTTCTTTTAGTAAATAAATAAATAATAAGAATGTAATGTACCGAATACATTTTTCATTTTTTTTCTAAAAAAGTATGAAACAAAAAACGAAAAACAAGAAACCAAATTGTTGCTAAACAAGCACTAGTTTTGATGGTACTACCAAGTAGTAATAACTATCAGAAGAAAGGTTTGTTGAAGGAGATATTGTTGAAGTTTAAAGAAACAGTTCCATGTTTGCATCAAATTATAACGTGTCCCTTTTCAGAACTAAAAAACACAGATTTTGCCTTCCAGAGACCGACTTAAGTCGACACGTCTCGGAGGGAGGAATGCTATGCACGAGCACACTCTTTCCTTTAAGAGAATTGCTTTTTATACAAAGAATGCATAATGATTCTACGTAATTACTACATAGAAAGCATATTTTGTGCTATTTGTTTTATACAAAGAATGCATAATGATTCTACGTAATTACTACATAAAAAGCATATTTTGTGCTATTTGTAAGGGATTTATATATTCAATAATGCAGTTTAGCCACTTTTACCTCAACAGCTGCCTTGCAAAATAGTACCATTCGCTTCAATATATCCTGAACCAATGAACAAAAAAACACGTAAGACTTCAATACTTGAAACTGATAATGAATTGGACAAAAAACTTGGATATCAGCAAAGTTAATATTACTGCTATATCAATTATAATAATAATCTCAACATAATTATCGCTATCAGCATTAATTAATTATTACCGTCATCTCGCAACTGTAAACTACAGTTTTACTTCAGATAGGTGATTATAGACCAAATTGTACGATATGAAGCAAAGCAACCTAATAATCCAAAGAACTGAAGAAGACTAAAAGGTGAGTTTGGTATGTTAATTTAAGCACGTTGCACATCTTTACGAGTAGTCATCTCTCAAGTGCTTAAACTACAAGAGTGTCAATCACTTTAAAGTAACTCTTTCGAAGAACCATGTCTCAAGTGTTTCTTCGAAAATGAATTTTTTCGCAATTTGAATTTTTTAAATTTGTTTAAATTATTGCCAAAAATTGTACATTTTTTTTTAAAATACACTTTTAGTCATCCTAAACACACTAAGACATTACTTCCAATAAAGTCATATTGGTTGCCACTGTATTTCTGCAGGAAAACCAGGCCAAAGAATCAAAGGTAATATGACAAATTTTCCATGGCATTAACATGGGATATCAAAGTGAAATTAGCTTTGAACACAAAATTTACCTATTAAACTAAGTTCATCCCTTCGAATAACTTCTTAAGGTAAAATCACAGGCGGCATCATCTTACCAGACGGTCTCCACCATATATATTCTGCTCCCTGTAGTAAAATATGCTGTTGTCAATAAAGACAAAATCAACTCCATCTACATATTTTTGAAAGTATACAACTTCATGATCCTGCAAGATTAAAAATTCACATGCTTGTGATAAAAGACTGGAAAATTTGAACAGAAAGTTACAGCTCAAAGTCAAAGTTTTATCGCACCTGTCCATTCACTCTATATCTTTTCCGAACACCGGTATCTTGGAGTTCAGCATAATTTTCATATCGAGGTACTACAACCTGCAAAGAAGAAATGAAATATAAATGGGGACATTGGTGTTTATAGTAAGGTTGTGAAATGCATCTTTTCGATTTTTTTTTTTTTCCAAGTAGAGCCAAAAGGAAGTAGCTAACAGAATCGCTTGTGAAGTAAAATAAGATTTTTGAAAAGTGAAAAGTACTACCATCACCCTGTGCCCACGGCGAGCCAAAGCCTTCGGTAAAGAGCCGGCGACGTCTCCAAGCCCGCCTATAAGAATCTTAAAATATCAGTACATAATCTATAAATAATGATGTGAATGGAATAATATACAAAGAATCAGGGTGTGTAATTTAATAACAAAAATCAGAATCATGATCATAGGAAACAAAATTGAAATTTTATTTTTATTTTTATGAAAATAACAACTTTTATTGTGAAAAATGAAAGAACACACGAGGGTATTCTAAAAAGAGAGCCCAAGCCAAAAGGAGCCAAAAAGCAACAAAAAGGACAAACAAAAGAAAAAAATTACAAAATATATATATATATATTTTTTAATATCCTTGAGTGTCCGAGCCAGCTTACGTGAACCTCGACTAATCACACAGGATAATCGCCTTATCCTATTACATTTGGTTGTCAAAGAAATACGTAGGATGTTAAATCCTTGGAATTACTAGAGATTTATTCGCATAGCAGGAATGATCAGTGAAGTTCAATTACCAAGGCAGAGCAGTATCTAAATCTTTTTCCAATTGATGCTATTCTCAACATTCTTCGTTAATAAGTAAAATAATTCCATATTAAAGTTTGAATGATTGAAATGACCAATGAATTTCCATAATCGCAAAAGTTAAATTATCGTGTATAGCTTTTAAATTTCCTCCAAAAGGCATGAAAATAATGAATTTTTGTAAGAATCCAAAAATGCGTCAAATGTTTTCAAAAAGAGAAAAGGAAAATAACCCTAAAAGGATTTCACAAGCGAAGATTATCCACTTAATCGTACAATACCAGTCTTTGACCATGGAGCACATTCTGCAGCAACTATTATGACATTCATAACATTAGCCCCAGCCAAAGGAGGAGGCTCAACATCCACACTTGCAGTTTCAACAGCATCACCATCAACCTTCAAAGCTGGTTCACTTGGCTGTCCATTATTTCCCTCTTTTACGGTGGAATACAAAGATTTACTGGAAAGAAACGCTGGAACAAAATCTGAAGATTTTGTCTTTGAGCTGCCTTTCAGCTGATCTTTAGGATCTGGAATAATATCAGAAGATTTGATCTTTGAACTGCCTTTCAGCTGATCTTTGAGATCTGGAAGAACATCAGAATATGTTGCCTGTGAACTGCCTTTCAGCTGATCTTTGGGATCTGGAATAACAACAGAAGATTTTGTATCTGAACTGCGTTTCAGTTGATTTTTGGGATCTGCAGTAGATATTGTCCTTTTAAGATCTACAACTTGCATCTTGTAATTGTTATCATAAGACGTACTGGAAGAAGACAGTAGAGCATCAGCATCCAGTTGCTCTCTTACAGCTACATTGCCAGTACTGACGGATGGACTACTTCCATTCAAACCATCAACAGTAATTTTATCATCCCGTGAATGAAAATCAGGATTGGGGAATGAGCTATCCATTTGTTCATATGAATCTTGCTCTTCCTCAGAATCAAGAGAAGTACTTTTTATGGATGAAACCAATTTCTTTCTCTCTGCAATCTACAGAACACAGGAAAGTTAAATCCAAGTATCAAAATTCAAGCTCCTACAAATGGGAATTCAGGAAAGACATGAATCTGAGGAAGGGTAACATGATCTAGAAAACATTGCACTCTGAAATCTAAGAGTACTACTAAAAGAACACAACCAACATTACAAGATATTATAGCATAATGTTAGGCCACCAATCCGTTATTCCTATAGTAGGATGAATTTACGTCACGAAAACTGATGTCTAGGAGGGTGCGGCGTTGTGGTTTTCAGTGTTTGTTTGTTATTTAAGTGTTGATTCCTTCTCTGTCTATATGTTTGTTAGAACTCAGGAGAGTGTCAGACCTCTCAAAGTTCGATTAGCATCATAACTCCTTTCACTATTCCAATACAAGGGTGTGGATCATTTATAGTACTATCACATAATTTGAGGGTTTCAGCCGGCTAGCTGGTCACCATCAGGCAATTCTGCAATCACATTTGATTTGAATTCATCTTGCATCAAAGCTAAGCCAAGAACCCAGTCCAACAATCCATAGCAGTGAGGAAACGTGAAATCTCCAACATAATTATAATTTCAGAAAGAAAAAGCAACAGAACTAGCATAATAAAATACCTGCTCGAGTAGCTGCTTTTGCATTGCAAGAACCTTCTTGCTCTTTTCAATGGTGGCCTGAATGGCATCGTCAGAATCATCACTGGTTTGCGAACCCGAAGTTGTTGCTTGGACAATCGGCCCAGCCCTCCACATTTGCCATTTCCCACTCCTCGAAGTTGCAACCATTTTGTCACAGAAAACCCCCTGATTCTGACTCGGCTGCCTAAGTGGAGAGAAATTCCGGTGGTACTTCTTACTAAGAATGAACATTGTGCTCTCTGTGAAAGACAGAGACCCTAAAGACGCCATTTCTGAAATATTTGTCTGTCCTTCAGAAAGGAAATGAAGCGGACCCAATCGAGAAAACTGAAGAACAGACGAAACCCAAGAGAGGGAGTAGAAAATCAGGGAGACCCAGATGATGTTTCCCTGTAATAGAGGGGTGACCGAAAGAGTGAAGGAAAATCGAGAGAGGGTTTTGATTGGGAGAGACTGAAATTGGAACCACAATTGGGGGAATCGGAGATGGGAAATGGGTTGTGCGGCTGAAATTAACTGAGAATCTGTGAACAGAAGACCATCTCCATGGCTTTTGAAAATTATGTCAGCTCAACGGGAGTGGCCACAAAATATTCTCTATAGCGACACGCATCTTTTTCACTCTCTCATTCAGTGGATTCGAAGACAAAACGCCTGTCCAACTCCACGATTACGCCAGATTAGCTTTGGGGTTGGTGATAATTTGTCTTGAATTTTGGATCCCGTTTTCAGATTTGGAAAAACGTGATCGATTTCATTGTATCGATATTGATACAATATTGTATTTGTATGGCATGTGAAGGGAAGTTATGAACGGCTTCTGATATGGGTTTCTTTGTGGCTGTGAACGAGGAGACATTTTTTACCTGAAGTTTTTAGAATTGAATTTTTTACATTTCAAAACTTTATGATTTTGACCCCTTTTGATATGAACAAGTAGGTTAAAATACATTTTTTCTCATGCATTAAATAAATTACAATAAAATCTGACCAATTTTCTCACCTCCTTTTCACCAATGTAGGTCCTACTTTTTGTCAATGATATATATTTTTGTTTTTTTTTTCAGTTTTCACCTTTTTTTTTCATAAACGATTCTGGAGCACTCTTCGGTCTTGTATGATCTGGCCCATCTTGACTTGTCCTAACGAAGTTTCCTTGCAAGATTCAACAAAAAAAAAGGCAACGAGAGGAATAGCTAAATTAAATAGTTTGATTTGAAAAATGACCAAAATAATCAAATATTATAAAAATAGTTAAAGAACAGTTAGAGCTGAACTACTAATTTTATGTAAACAAATTTACTCTTCCCATCAAAATAGGTAAATTTATCCTACCATTACCCTTATAAATTCGTGACGAAACTACCCTTCAACAAATATGTAATGCACCTAAATTGTAGGAAAGAAGATACTGAATGGAAATTATAGAGTTCAAAAATGTTAAATCAAAATGTAAAATGGATTAAAAAATAAGTAAAATCAATTTAGAAAAATGAAACATGAACAAAAAAATAATATTGAAATTCAAAACTGAACAAAAAAATACAGAGTGAGTAGTTGAGAATTAGTACCCACCTCACTGTCAATATCACTACACACCACACTCCATCAAAAAATTTCCTTCCAAAAACCCTATCAGTAACTCAAAAACCCACTCATTCGAAATTAATACCCCCTCATCAAAATCCCTTCCAAAAACCCACCCCTTCAAAATTAATACCCACCCCAAACGGCACTCCAAAAATCAACTCTGAAACCTCACTCCAAACGCTGAATCCTTCCAAAAATATCCCAAATCCCTAACTCCTTCCTCTTCGCCAAACCCCCAAACAGCGTACAAGAATCCCTAAACCGCGTACAAAGGTCGTGCTTCTAAGGTAGAATCCCAAAGTTCGAAGAGGCTTCTAAGGTCACTGATTTCCGAAGACTTCGACGGAAAAGAGTTCTATCATTGATTTCCGAAGATAGCGTACAAGAATACCTCAACGACGAACAAGTATGACTGATTTCCAAAGACGTTGAAGGTCGGTCCGATCTAAGGTCGCTGATTTTGAACACGCGTCGATTTTGAGACGGATCCAGAACACGGCAGATTTTGAGACTCCCAGACAGATTTCAAGAGTATGTACTCGACTTCCCCCAAGCGTATCTGCAATTTTTAATACTGTTTAAATAAATGAGGTTTAAAAAATATAACACGTTTAAGCGTATGTTTCTGTTACCAACCCCGATATTTAAGGGATTTTGTTGACACAATAGATATAGTCGGTTATATGCAAAATCGATTATGTGGGGAAGATTAGATTGCAAAATATAGTTATGAATACTAAGAATAGTTAAAAGTGTCATTCTTGTTTTATATCAGATTGTCGTATAGTTTAGATTGCAAACAAAAAATTTAAATAACATCTACAGGGCAGTATTTTGGGCAACAGGATTGAAAGCCTCAACTGTTTGGGAGATTATGTCCACCTTGGGTTTCCATGGTCACAAGGCATAAGAGAAAGAATAGAGGATTACAAAAAAAAAAACACAAGAATGACAGATATAAAACGGTGAGAGGGCTTTTTGTATTTATCTACTGTCTATATTGTGTAAAGAAGTTATATTTACTGAGGAATGTTCAATGTCACTAGGAATATATTCAGTTTTGTATTTATTTGAAATCGGTTATGTTCAGCTTTTATTTTATTGCAAGTGACACATAAATCGGTTATGCTACCGATCACCAAATTAATTGCTTCGATTAGACAGAGAATTGAGTGAAATTCTTGCTTATAACGTGGTGAGCCTTTAGGTAGTCTGAACTTTTGAAGTAGGTAGAATGTAGTGATACAAACTGACAAAAATGGTCATCTACTCTGTAGAATATTATATCTACCACGTTGTATTGACATCTCTTGATATGGTGAATATTATATCTACCCCGTTTTAGATATGGTAAAAAAGAAGGCAACATGAGGTAGACGTTCGAGCCAAAGATTGCTAGCTGCAGGAATCATTCGTTCAAGACCAAAGTCAGAAAAATCGTGCACAATATCATTGGACAGTAATGGCGAGAATTCTATGACTGAAGGCGCACCTACCTGTACCCAGATGGACACTGTACAGGCACGTACACCAAATAATCAATTGTAGCATAAAAACAAGGTCGTTTCCATAGGGATTGCAGATTTACTTTGAACTAACAAATTAGAATACCAAAAAGCAAAAATAAAATAGTTTGTTTAAGAATATTGTGAATACGGTGAAATAAATTGATAAAACAGTAAATGAACAGCTACAAAAATATTTCGATAAGATGTTGGAGCATCCAACTAAGACAACAAACAGATTACGAAAAATAAACGAATCAAAAGTAAATTGAGGGGGATTCGCTCTGATGCTTTCACTCATTATGAACAAATGCTCCAGCAGACTCAGAATACTGATTACCCAAATAGACATGGCTCTCTCCCGAAATATCAAACATGCTTAAACCCAACTCTCGTTGTAATGAAAGCAAGCAATAAAGCAGTTTATAGGCACGATAGGGGGAGTCTCAACCCTAAGTACTCACCATCTTACTTCAAAAAGATGAATCTATCGCTAATAGACGCAATCATGCAACACAAGGACTCTCCCGAGCCTCAAGCGAGCTAGCAATTGAAGTTTTACGGACACTATGAAAAACTGATGGATGAGTTACTACACGCAGTCACATGTGCTAAGGCATCCAACTTTAGCATAGATGCTCTTCCAATCACGCTCCAACAACGCCATCAGCGGACTTGGCAGCACTCAACTTATCCAATCTCAATTTCTACAATTCCTATTCAAAATATCAATAATTAAGCATAAGTTCATTGAAATTACATAAATTGAGAATTCTAACAGCTCAGGACCCTAGCTTGTTGATTTTTATTCTTTTTCATGCTATTTTAACAAGGGCTCTCACATTTTCACACAAATATAACGCAAATTAGGCCACAAAACAATCTCTTACAGAGAGTTGTCACCGCATAAGAAAAATATTAAGTTAATGTTGGAAAGTTGAAGCAGTCCTGACCTCACATTAAGTCGAGCAACAACACACTGGACTTACATACTTCCCCAAATTCGGTTGGCACCTCATAGATAACCCCTCCCTCCTTAGTGGTGAGCCCATCATTCGACACGAGGAGTCATTTGTACCTCCACTTCTTGTTGGATGTGAAGGGATGTGATTCCCGGAGCGGAAACGGATTTTCGTTGCTGAATTTCGGGATACAAAATCAAATTACAAAGTAGGAAAATACAGAGGAAACTTTACCTTTAAAGAACGTTTCTTCAACGAGTTTCCCTCGAACACCACCACTATGTCTTCCTCGCTATCCTCTTGGGTCTCGGGATCGTGCTGGTGGGAGCAATCCTTTGGAACGAGAGGGAGAGATTGAGCTTCTTGAGAGAGATCTGGGGATCCTTTTTTTTTTTCCACTGTAATGTTCTGTTTTCTTCAACCATTGAAGAAGAAGAACAATGACGTGGGGTAACAGCAACCCCCCCACTCCCCTGCAATTTTGCAGGGAAGTTAATATTAATAATAATATTAATATTAATATATATATATATTTATAATATATAATAATAATTAAAATTTATATATATAATAATATATATAATAATTAATATATATATAAAATTAATTAATATAATTAATTATTAATCCAATTAATAATTAATAAATATATATATACATAAATA